AAGATTAATTAGCTACATTTGCTGGAAAGCAGCAACCAAACTAGACGGTAGAACAGTTTAGTGTTAGCAAGACAACAGTTAGGACAATCCTACAGTAGAATCATGAGTATTTGGAGAGATATGATAATGAAAGAGGAGATCTACAGCGGAAAAGGCGGAAAACTTTCCCCGATTACTTCAGTGAGGATACGCTGAATTGATTCAACCAAATTAGAGCACTTAATGCTCGAATATCCGGGCGGGTGATTCAAGAAATTGTTTAGAAATTTCACAAGAAGCTGGGGTTGCAGATTTGAAAGCACCCAATGGTTCATTTGAGAAATTTGAACTGGGAAATAACATTTACCAAGAAGTCATATGCGGAGAATCCAACGAAGTCTATGAAGAGTTTATTAAAGATAACACCGAAAAAATTCCCGACTTCAGCCATGGTTTCAGCGATAGTGACAATTTTAACGCCTGCGAGTGCGGTCTATTCTACGAACGATGCCTTGCAGGAGCCTTGTTCTAAAGTCCTCACCATTATTATACTCCTTGGCTAGATGTGAGAAACACCTCAGCTACTGTGCCGTAATACATAAAGAAGGGAAATGCAACAGGCGCAAGCCAACTGAGCTACCAGTAACGGATAGACATCGTTCCGGTAAGCTACCAGACGGCTACTGTGCATCAAAAATATCTACCATGCAAAATTATATAAGCCTAAGTAGTGGGATGGTGGTTGAATGGGAAGACTAAGACGGATGGGGTGGGACAAAGAAACTCACAGCACGAACGTCACCGAGGCCGACTCCTAGCCAAATCATAAGTGTATCCAGCCAAATGTGTTCATCATCGTTCGGACCCCAACCAGGGAGCCGAGAAGCTCTAAACGAGGCCTTCATTCTCTCGACCAAGTCATCGCTTAGCCACTCCTATTCTTCCATCCACATCTTCGGCGCTCAAACAAAGCACGTCGCGGGAGTCGGTAGTCTGGCATGCATTACACGTGGCCGAGCCATTGGAGCCTGGTGCGTGAAATAACTGTGCTGAGCGGTTCATTTCCTTTCCCTGGACCATGAACAAAGCGTCAAACACGCTCGTTGCTCACGCGGTGTTTCCATCAGACGTGAGTCAAACTGCGAAGGCACCGATGGTCGAACGTAACTAGCATCTATGTCCGCTGATCTAAGAGGCCAGATTTCACAACCGGACAATAGGGTCGAACGTACTGCTGCATTGTACACTCTACCCTTCAGGGCGAGAGTGATGTCGCGCCGGCGCCATAAGTGGCAAACGTGAGCAAAAGTGCCTCCAGCTTTTCTATACGCTTCGTGATCTCATCTTCAATCCCACGGCCCTGTTACAACTTCCCATGTAGTTGAATTTTCGAAGGACTTAGAACTTATCCCCACCAAGGGTCAGCGAAGGAGGCGGTCCAGGCCAACCTTGGAGAAACGTTTAGTACTTCGATGGTGCGAAACAAAGCGTGAAGTAACGGATAGCCAGTGCTAATCTGCCCAGTGTCGCTTAGCACGTTCTTGAGCTGTTGTAGATTAGGGCAAAATCGTCAGCATATTCCAAATCAAGAAGTCGTCCTCCTGGGAATGGCACCAAGTTTTCTAAGTCGTGTCCTGTAAACGCGATTTCCATGACTTTGTCAATAGCGAAGTTGAAGAGGAAAGGTGACCGCGAGCATCATTGTCTCACACTGCTGGAGATATTAAACGGCGACGACAGTTTGCCGTAAGCGCTCTCTCTGCCTGAGCTACGTACGTATAATTCTCAGATAGTATTTACGTATTTTTGTTCACACCTTTCAGGAGTAGACAATCCCAAAGTGCACGTCTATCCACCGAATCGAATGCTATCTTGATGTCGAGGAACACGAGAACGATGGTCCGTCACTATATGTGATGGTGCTCCAACAACGCAAGCAAAGTGAAGATATGGTTAGTGCAGCCACAACCTTGACCAAACTCGGCTTGTTTTTTACGCATATGGCTTTCACGAGTGCCAGTCAGTCTGTGAAAGATGACAGAAGCGAGTAATTTGGTGGCTATGGGGAGCAGACTGATTCCTCTACGGTTGCCGCATTCCGAACTTGAGCCTCCCTTGAAAATTGGGACTATGACGGACCGGTGCCAATCGGTTGGGACAGTTTCCTGCTCACATAGCTTCACTAGTAGCTCTTGAAATTTATCCACAAGAGCAGATCCCCGAATTTGAAGAGGGCTGGAGGAAGATCATCTGGTTCTGCGGCTTTATTTAACTTCAACAATCCGATCTCAGGTTCGACTTCTGAGCGAGCGGGTGCATCCAAATGGATAGTCCAGGGAGCAGGACGATCAGTGGCAGGCGAGAAATCTGACTATCCTGACCGATTAAATTACATTTCAAATGCTTAGCCCAACGCTCCAAGCGTTTTGACAAGTTGTGGATAGGCTGTCCACTCTCGTCACGTGTAGTTTCACTAACACCAAGTCTTCTGATGCCCGTTTCTCGTAACAGCCGGAATAAATTACCGTGGTTACCAAATGCAGTGGCCATTTCCATCTCTGTAATACGATGAGACCACCATGATTCGCGTTTGTCTCTTCAGGCTAGCACGGAGTTTTGCCCGGAGCTCTTCGTGAGATTCATTGTGTCCGCTTCCAGCCGGAATATGCCGGAGAGTATGGATAAGTTCCAGAGACTGCGAAGAGATTTAAGGTCCATGTTGGCGATCAGACTTACCACATGAGGATTTCCCTGCTGCTTGTAAGATATGGTGAATATGAGACCAGTGAGCTCCAATTGCATCCAGTGTGCGGTTACCCAACTCGCATGACAGCATATTTTATAGACATTCATAATAGCTGGCTTAGCCAGTTGGCTGGTGTCAATGCGCTCACAAGGTCGTCTTGGGCGTCTGCCAAAACTCACACGCAGGTCAGCCCATACAAGTGCATGGTCGGTGTCCACACATGTGCTCCAAATCGGGCGACAGTTCTGGACGCAGTCTCTCAAGCGGTGACTGATAGCAATGTCGTGGATTTGAGTCCATAGCTGGTTCGAGACTGGTGGGAACCCAGTCACCCTCCGGCGGGTGTTGTGTCGGAAATTAGTGCTCGCAAGAAATAAGCGAGCTTCCCCACACAAATGAAGTAACTGCTCACCGTTATCATTACAGGAGCCTACACCATGTGGGCCGCCCAGATGCAGTTCATCTGGATAAATTTCCACGAATCCTTAGTCAAACAATTACTTTGTTAATAAGGGTGACATATGTAAGAGTGGGCTACATTTCTAAAACGTTTCACATTTATGCCGTGCTAGCTCAAGTGGAGATGAGCCCTACACTTTTATCCTTGGCAAGTCAACTAGACCACGTGTACTCAAGATTCGGTATCCTGAAAATCTTCCAGTCCTCTGAAGAGCTAACAAATCCGCATGAATGACTGCAGTCATATTTGACGGGTGGATAGGAAAACTCGCACGAGAAATGATAAAAAAGTAACGATTTCTTCTATTGACTGGATAATTGTCCTAGTCATATTCTTGCGGATAATCTTACAAATATTACACAAAATAGCTGCTTCCAAATATAATCCCAACAATTCAACCACTGAATCAAAGAGTCAGCAAATTCTTTCAAACGCATTAACGAGCCAATCGCATACAATGACCTATAGCAAAAATGAATCCCAATTATCTGCATATTGCAAGAACTTGATCTACTGCTTCAGTTATGGCTCATGACGCTGTGTTTTAGATACGTTCCGTTTGGCACGAATTTCAGCCAGAGAAAATACAGAAATACTTGAAAAACTGTAGCAGGATGTTGTTGGTCTAATGAACATTCTGTCTCCAAATACAGACGTTGAGGGAATAGATACACAAGCGTTTGTTGAAATGGATGCTAACTTGACAATCTACATTGAACCAGACTCAGATGCTGCTTTCAAAGAGATACTGACTGCGGTACAACCCCACGGAGAACGAACAATAATCGCTTAATGATGAAGAAGGACTGAGTGTAGATGACATGGAAGCCACGGAAGCAGCAAAAGAGAGTGATGTCGGGTATTTTTTTATGCAACTAAAATCATTTATCGTGGAAAATGTCCAAAAATGCTGAATAATGAAGCTTATGCTCAGAGGAGTTTCTCAGTTACATTTGGAATAAGAAGAAGAAACAATGATTGATCTTTTCTACACAAATATGGGTTAGCTTGCGAAATGTAAACTACGTCCTGATTTATTTTAACACCGTGTGGTTCAGCTGCGTTTGCCGTTGAGTGAGACCCCGTCTAATGTGTTCGAAGCGCGTCTATGTGCGAATAAAGTACGTACTATACTACTCACAACGGGTGAGGTTAAGTTTTGGCATACTAACTCTGTAGGTTGACCACTTTTGTCTAGTCCCTTGAGTGGTTAACTTACACTTTTAATGTATTTGCATTCAACCCCACTAACTGTTTTTATTTATTGTTATTCTTTCGATGTGAGTCATGGCAACTGGATCATCTGCACTTCGGTGCTTGGATCGCAGTTGTTCAACTAAACTGAACTGAACTTTTCAGTGCACCATGGTTTTTCCGAGGGCATTTTGAAATCAACCGTATCAGTCGGCACAGTTCCATCTGACCAATTGGCATGTTGCGCATGCCTATACGCTCACATGAGTTGGCTTTTATGGTGCGCATTGTCTGGCCATGAGATAGCTGGATTGCTGTACTCTGAGCACGGATCTAAAACGTTTATACATCTCTCGGTATGTCTGCCTATCTCTCACCGGCGCATTTATGCGTGCCAACCATTAGGTCACTGCCTGCATCGTTGGCTTAAAGATGTGGTGGTACTTACGTGTCTGTGCCTGTGTGGGTGTGATACGACGCCCGCAGCCAACTTACGCATCGTGCACCCTTATCGACTGAGCACATTGCGATTGGCACATCAGTGTGAGCACGACACTAGGGTTTAAGACGACTTACAAGTAGAGTTGCAAACTCGGAAGCGGGCGAGTTGGAGTATCTGCAATGCACAGGAATCGGAAAAGTCAGGCTAATGCGCTCCCGCGGGGCTCGCAATACATTGATGGCCAGCTTATCCACACGGCGACGAACCAAAAGTTGTTCTTCAACACACATGTATGCACTGTGTACCGTGAGATCTTGAAACCGAGCGAGCCATTCCTGAAGACCACTGCGGAACATGTGATGAATAAGCACACCAGGAAGAGACAGGCGCACGGAACGGCCAACATTCTGGAAGACCGGTTCACCATCGAACCGAGCAAATCGGGTGGTAAAACTCCATTTCGGCCTTACCTGTACTACCGTGAGATTCAGGATATACAACGAAGCAAGAAAAAACCAGAGTACTTTGTTTTGAGTATACTCTCGGAGAAAAGCGACAAACGTTACTATGAAGTGTACAAATGCAAAGGGAAAGAGGAGGCGTCACGCTTCGAAAATTATGTACGTGGTGCAATGAACGATCCCGAGAAGATGGTTCGTGATCCATCCTACATCGGTGTGGTACCAGTGTCTCAGACGGACGACTTAAGACGTTCGCTGGCCAACGTTGTGTTTGAAGAAGTTCCCTCGTCCGAGGAAGAGGAGGATGAGGACCATACAGTCAAAGTACAGAAACCAGACACGACGTATGTGGAGAAGCCTCGAGTTCGTGAAAGCATCCCACCACCCATGCTGCAAACACAGCCGGCCGTTCACGCCGTACCGGTTCAGTCAGCGTCGCGCAGCCCAAAATTGTCTACCAGGAGCAGCAGCTTTCCCAGTGAGTTACCCGACGTTACATGCATCTATTACGAATGGAAAACTGGTAGACCTGTGATTAATGAAAATGGGCCTTTTTATATGTATTGTATGCGTACGGAAAGCGAGTATAACCAATCTCCGTATGGCGCCCGTAAGGGTCAGAGCATGAACGATGGCATGAACTATTCACCAAGCTACAACAGCACGTATCGTCCGTATCAGTCCAACGAGAGGTCTGCCACACGTGACGGAATTATTTCAACCTACGCAGCTTAGAAATTCCGGTTATATATACATATACATACTATTGCGTGTGTGTCCCTCCTCTCTTCGAGACAAATTTCGTGTGTCAGTAGATACTTCAGAGCTCCGTCGCACCTTCCATTTGTGCAACTTTCGTGCGCATTTGCCAAACTCCATTTCGACATTGTGTTCACTTGCGGGCACAACGAAAGTCCAGACATGGACGAAAATGGACGCATTCGTTTTAACAGACACAGCCAATTTATTCAAACAAGTTCGAACAGAAAATGAGCTTAATTTACTCTACAATATGTGCTTTGATGTCTCAAACGAAATTCACCGCGTTCCTAACGCCTTTCCAAGGCCGTTGGTATTACCAAACAGTTCTATTTTTCGTGAAAAATATAGTCTAAAATTGTATGAATTTGTACTGACTTATTGTGAGCGCGTCAATCCCTGTGCACGCTCAACGGGACTGATAACTTCGTGCTTTAATGTAGTTTCTGTTCAGGTCCGTCTTATTAGTAGAGACGCGGTATCCGTGCAATAGGACCAAACATTTTATACTAGCATTCTACGGTTGTATTTTTACATACTTAGATAGGTAAATAAGTGTTTGTGTTAACCGGTAAGCAGTATATGATCGCTAGTTGGGAGCATTCAGTCGTCGATAGAAGTTATCTTCCAGTTTCGGTCTCCCAAAACGTAAGGAAATATTTCCGAGTTATGTATTTTCTCAACCTTCCCTGTTTAAAGTTTTGTTATTAATTCTTTCGTAGATCAGCGACCCGATGGCTGGAAACGCATTCATTTAGCAGGATTGTTTTTGCCACTATTCGCTAAGTAACTGCTTAGCGAAACCTAGGGACAGTCAGTGCTGAGGAGGGGAAGAGTAGGGGAAAAAGGCAAAAGTTTTCTTGTATGCATAAAATGATAAATGAAGGAAAAGTAGTGTGGACGTTTATTTCAAGTTGTTTAGGCCAGATCTCATTAATGTGTTGAGATTGCTTGGAGCCGAGTGCCTTCAACACAATCGGTTTAATGTACTTATGAGTAGGGGATTTTGATGTAATTATGTAAGGTCCATCGCAGCCAGTTTCGAAATCAGATAGTCGTCCACATGTCCGGAAAAACACTAGACTGCAGTTTCAGCCAGTTGGGCATCGTCAGTAGTGCGCATCCATCGGATCCGTCAGGATTCGAACCCATGACCACCAGCGGCTTGAACCGCAGTTAGCTTGTAAATCATGACGGTCCGAAGCTGTCCGCCGTGGCCCAGTGGCATAAGCTGCTGACTGGCGGTTCAAGCCGCTGGTGGTCATGGGTTCGAATCCTGACGGATCCGATGGGTGCACACTACTGACGATGCCCAACTGGCTGAAACTGCAGTCTAGTGTTTTTCCGGGCATGTGGACGACTATCTGATTTGGAAACTGGCTGCAATGGACCTCACAATCGGTTTAAGCCATTTTTGGAATCGTTCGGAACGCGGCGAGATTTACGCAATGGTAGTTGGTTCAAAAGATTGGCGTATCTCATCAGGAGAAAGGTTACTCGGATGTTATGACTTGCAGGATGTGAGGGTTGTAGGCAACTCCAATGTTGGATGGAATTGATAACACTTATATGAAATCAAACTACTCTGTCTATGATGACCCAATTATTTATATTGCAAAGTAAAGAAGGATATTGGGTGGTCATTTTGAAGGAGATTGTTCTTGTCTAACAGATTCGATTAGTTGTTTAGTTGCAGTAGGATATACCGGAGAAGTGCAAACAGCATACCCGCTACCCCAGCTGATATAATTCAACAATTTTGATATCGCATCATCGATTCACATTGGGGCTCGCATGTACGCGCACGCGCGCGCGTTCAGCATCAGCTCTTTCGTTGCAGTTGGGAAGCTGTTAGTGAAACGAGTGTGTCATGTGCAAAACATGTGCCACGCAAGTACTGAGGGGCATTTCACTGAAGTTGAATTATTAGGGCTGTTCTACTGAGGGGATATCGAAGATCGTTTTTCGAAATGCAAAGCGCAATAGCCCTCATTATGAGTTGTAGGTCAATATGCATGGCAGCACATTGAAATTGTGATCACATTCCAGCAAAAGCATATAGAGAGACCGTTGCCAGTGCCCCCGGATTGTAGTGTTTTTACCGAAAGGTAAGATGGTAAGTTAAAAGTACTTAAAGCGTGTGTCATATGACCAACCGCCCTACAGTATCTCCTGGATCGATAAAGGCATTCACAAACGCACTACCATAGAAGATATGTGAACGCGAATGCACCTTTATCCATAAGTAAGCCGAAAAACTGCTATAATGATCGACTTGCGATACAATAAAGAGCATTTGATATCACATATTGTTTGTATTCCTTTCACAAATGGGCAGGTTGGGTCTGCCAATTTGTGACTGCTTTACCCGGTAGATAATTTGTGTGCTGCCAGGCAGCAGTTGTTCTTATCGACATCTCATATATGTAAGAACTATTCCCAGATGAGAAATCAGCAGCGGCTAGTGATTCAGACCAACACTGCTCGCTAGAGGAAATTAAAACGGAGCTCAAAAGATAATGTTTTATAAGCTAGAAGAATTTTCGCACCCATAACACCGTGGTTGGTCTTATGAACCCTAAGCACGGGAACATAATTTGGACACAACCATAAGGCGCGGTTTCAAACCAGCATAGGAAGGAGGTCTTATAAAAGATATCTAGTGGAAACAACCTCACATGCGCAGTCGAATAACGGCTGCCCCTAGGTGTGAGGGTAAACACTACATGCGACAAGGCTGTGCCCAACATCTTTCATCGCGAAACGAGGAGGTCATCACTTGATCCTTGGAACTTGAAGCTGGTTTGTTTCCCCCACTCATCATGATCGATAAGAACAAGGTGGGCACTTACCTAAGACTTGTACTATCAGTCTACATAATATGCACAAGCGTACTGCTCATTAGATGGTCGTGTGGTGCTCTCATCTGGTCACTAGAAAGATTGTTAATCACTTCAACTGTAGTACCCACTAATGATTACTGACATGAAGGCTCATATTCGTTGCATCCAAGCGTAGCGAACGTCAGTCTTTCAGGGACAAAACGATTTCATTATTGTGATGGAGCTCTTCAAACCCGGTCTCAGTTACACGGAAACTGTTTTGTCTTTTGGGTTGCTACGGTCCCCCTTTTAGTCTTAACATTAGACACGTAAGAGCAGAAGTCGGGGATCTAAACACAACAGGGGCGCGCACTGCAGATCATTTCCGAAAGGCCGAATTGGCCATCTAATATTCGCACACCGACTAATTGAGTATATTCTAAAGATTCAACCAACTTCGACAAAATTATTTAGGCAACAGAGGTGAGTCAGTGAAGACGGACGAAAGCGTACCTCTTTCCGTACTTCGATGCATATTGTCATGCTGAGCCCATAAAAAGCAACATCTCCAGATGCAGAAATTCTTGTGAAATAACCAGTAACTGTCAACCAATCAGCGGAGATGCGCGAACGGACAACTAGGTCTAATATACAAAATTAAACAGCCTATTCGCTTAACAACTGGCTGGCCGTCCAGTTCTTCTAGTGAATCCATTTGGTTCTTTTGATTGGTTAATGCTCTGCCTAGGAACATTGAGTTTGGTCCATCAGATTCATTGGCGTTTAAGAACAAATTGCCATTTACAGAACAGTAGTAGGGGGCGTTTGAATGGGATAGGTATAGGTAGAAATTCGTCACATCTAGTAAATTAATCACGATGGTCGTTGCCGTCCTCCGTAGCTCAGTGGTCTCAACCACGGACTACCAACAGTCGAGTTGCGGGTTCGAGCTCTACCAAGATCCGATGGAATGCGCACTGCTGACGACTCCCGAAAATTGCCATTTGTATACAAATTTGAATTACAATGGACATGTCCCTACCTCTGGTATATACAGGAAGAGAACTTGTTATCGACGAATGAAGTTAGTGAATGAAAAATAATGTGGTAAATCCCAAAACTTTGGTTCCTCTGCTCTGTTAATGTGGGACAAAGCGTCCCTACTTCGGGTGTGGGGTAGAACGCACTAAAGTACCAGCTATCCAATAGTAGATGTTGGTCTATCTCAAAATGTCTCACCCAGTCACATGGGTGTAGAAGGACCGGTATGCATGCATCTGGGTGCATATTTACTTGCCAAACTCGTCCATCGTGAAAACGCTGGATGGTGCAGATGGTTGAGTTGGAATCAACCTACAGGGAAAGTTCACCGATCGATACATGCGGTGTGTAGGACTGGTTAGAACGGAGACAGGCGTGCAAAAGCGAAACAGCAGTGCCTCATTACTGGGCTACTGCGGTAGAATTTTGGTTGCGGTTGGGAAGGCGTAACTGGCCTGAGTAAGGAGTGTTCAATAGGTGTTTGGTATTATCCTAGCTAATGACAGTGATTATTGGCAACGCTCTTGTAGACTGAAAGCTACCTTCCAACAACCTACCTTAGCAAAATAGGCATTTCTAACAACTAGGCCTTGAAAATATGAAATGTGATGTTTCAAAAAAGGAGTATTTAAAAGTTATACCGCCTAAAGACTACTCGATGCCACATAGCCTATTCTCCCGCCGCAGTAATGATCGCCGTTGCAGGAAACGAATGTGGCTACACTGTCCAATTTGTTTCAGGGGGGGCCATGAGCGTTCATTCCAACATATTTACTGTTGGGGCAATATTACATTGGCACGGAATTGAGAAGCTGCATTTCTAGGCAATATCTAATCCTCTCGGATACGGAGAATCACGTAGTGCACAAAGCGCGAAGCTCATTGGTGCGAAAATATGAATGACAAGTAGTTAGTATGGAAAGCATTGCTTATAAAATACAGCGTGATAAGAAAAGTTGGCTTCTGGGGCCACTAACTTACCTTCTGTGTTTCCGAACGTTGCTGATCGGAAATAATTATTTCTACAAACTTTACCCTACTCACAAACTTCCAACATTAATCTACCATCGCCCCTTGGACATTTGAAGGACAGGTACTTCGGTCCAT